AAGCTTGCACCGTGAGGCGTATTTTGGAGAGCTGCATCCTGCTTGGGAGATTTCGGCCGATTCTTCCCCTCCCTCTTTCCTCCAACCCCATTTCTAAAGAGGTTGATCAAGGGATGCCTTGAAACGCTTCCTTCTTTCTCGGCTAAGGGAGACACTTAATTTCCCTGCCTGGCCCAAACAGTCCCAGAGGGTGCTCGCTCCTTGCAGCTGGGCACTGGGCCCGATCCGTGCTCTCTCGAGCAGCTTCCATCTTGTTCTGGTGGATTCTTGTGCGGATCCGGGGGCCGTGGACAGAACTGCCTTCCGCAGGCCCTGAACGGTTCCCCAAACACATCCCCTGAAGCCCCGGCCTCCCTCTGTGTCTTGGAAAGGCCAACTCTTGAGTAGCTGGACTAGGTACTGCATTTTACCGGCACCCTTTATCCAAACTGCTCGCGGTGAAGCCCATCGGTTCCAGGCTCCCTCGCTGCGAACCCTCACCGACCTTCGGCGCGAGCGTGAGGGGCCCTCGGTCGCTTGGTGAACTTCATGGCCAGGCTGGGCTTTGAACCCCGGCCCTCGTCCTGAGTCTGACCACCGTTGCCCCGGTGCGTCTCTTGCGAGCGCAGGGGGCGTCCCAGCTGGGGAAACCGGCAGCCCAACCGCGTCCCTCACCCATGTCGCCCTGCGGGTACTTTTGGCGGACCTGCCCCGGCTCTCCGGGACCCACAGCCTGGTGTGGAGCGTTTGCAAAGGTAACGCAGGGAGGCAGAACTTCTGGTCTGTTCCTCCGCTTCCTCTGTTTACCTGCGTTGCCCTTCCAGGAAAAGCTCTGCCCGGTCAAAGCCAGGATCAGAAGCAGCCCCGGCAGGGCAGTGGGGACAAGAGGCGGCCTTCCTCTCGTGCAGGCTCCAGATGCTGATGCAATTCGTTTGAACTTTGGCAAGTGTGGCAGGGAAGCGTGTTTGACTTGGAAGGGGTTGCGGTGTGACCCACAGGGGGCGGGGGCTTCTCTAGTGTGTGTGTCTCCATGGCCAGTGGGGCAGGCAGCTGGCCCAGCGAGGAACCGCAGGGTGGTCCTGCCCCTTTGGGCGTCCCGGGGGCCTCCCGGGGCGTGAACTGCCCCTGGGCCCACGCCCTGGATCGGGACTCTGCAAGCACCCGTGTGCTCCAGGATGGCGTGCTCCAGCTGGGGGCGGATCGGTGGGTGCCCCTAGAGGGGCCAGGCTTGCACCTGTGTAGCGTGGGCCCCGATCCTTCCTGGACCGGCTCGGCATCCAAAATGTGCGTGTCTGTGGCTTGCTTATTGGGAGACGGCTAGGGGAGTGATGTGAACGGAGGAGAGGTTTCCTTGAAGAGATTCTTCACGCTTCCCAAGCCTTTGGGAAATCCGCTCCCCAGCCCCGTTCTTTTGCCCGTAGGCTATGGAGATCCCCAGAGTGGATTTGTGATGATTCCGGCTTCTCGAGAATAAGCTCTGGATCACAAAGGGCCCTGGCTCAGGCACAGTTGCAATCTGTGCATGTTTACACAGAAGTAAACCCTGCAGAGTTCAGTTAGGCGTCTTCCCTGTCAGGTGTGCATACAGGTGTGGCCTCGGGCAGGTGACTTCCTCTTGACTTCCCTAATTGGAGGATGCTGATTTTAGCATTGCCCCAGGAATGCATTTGGTCCCCTCGGAGTGCACTGAATTGGCTCGCGGAGCATTCCAGGTGTGTTGATCTTGCACTCAGAGGTAGGTCTTCGTAAGTAAGATCCTTCCAAGCCGAAGCAAGGCAGGTACAACTGTCCTGTAATAATAAGCCAGAGGCCGCCAGAGGTAGACCTGTGGGTGAGATGCGTTGGTTAGCACGCGTTTCAGACTCCGGATGCTTGGTGGTGCCATTGGATAACTAGGCTGGGGTCGTAGGGAGTTGTACCTGGGCTGTCCCAGCGCTCAGTAGAAGTCTTGCGACTGATGGAGAGTTTAATCCGTCCACTTCTTCCTTTGAAGTGTGTTTGTTCTCCCAGTTGTTCTTCTCTTTCGACCCCTAGGTCACCTGGTTGAAAATCACGATACCTGCTTGCTTGGAGGATTAGGGTGAGCAGCAGGTCAGGCAGGTTGGTGTAGTTGCCCCAGGAGAAGGGCATAGCGTGTTGGCTAGGCAGCCGTGAACTGTGGCAGTAAGCGGCCCTTTGCCGTGGCAAGCTCTCCATCATCCCCAGGTGGCTTGCAAGAGAGGCAGGTGCCCCCGCTCTGAGCCTGTGGTCTGGAGTAGCTAACTCCAGCTCCCACAGGCCGCCTCATGGTCAGTGGGCTGAGGTTCAGGGAGTTGCTCCCCCTAACTAACGCGTGGGCACCAGTTTGCCTGCCCCGTGGCATCTGCCTGACTTTGGCTCGCTGCTGCTGAGAACAGCGGTAGAGCAGCCAGTGCCAGGAATAGACTACCTGCATGGCTGCACCTCGGGATTCCTACAGCTGCAGCATCCTCCCAGCTCTGCAGCACTTTCCGTGAACCATCTTGGTGTTGAGTTCACCGTTTCCACTTTGTATTGTACAACCAGAGAGGGGGAAAGAGAGTGGAGGCCAGAGCGGAGCGGGCCCCAGCCCCAAGCCGAACACGCTTCTGCCTAATTCACAGAACCGGTTCAGGCTGCTCTTGCCGAGGCAACCCAGGACCTGCCACAGGTGAGCGAGGAGGCGGCTTCCGGCTTCCGCCCAAGTCCATCCCTCCTTCCTCCTCTCAGCCCTTCTGCCTTTTATCTCCAAGGCCATCTGCTTTGTTTATCCGCATTCAAAGCATGTCTGGAGGGAGTGGGGCGGCCCAGGGCTCTGGCTCTGACGCTGGCGCTGTCCTCGCCCCCGCACCACCACGATCCTCTGGCAGGATGAGCCCTGATGTGGCGATAAGGTGCCAGCAAGTTTGTGGGGTTGGCAGCTGCATCTGGGCCATTCAGGCATCTTCCAGCTCAAGGGCTGAATTTGGAGAAGCTGGGGGGGGGGGGGCATTCCAATGGCGGGAGGGGCCGAAAGCCCAAACCCATCACCCTGTCCTCTGCCAGAAATCGAGCGCCGAGATACATAAATGAGCGTGTGCAGAGACTCCTGCCCTGCGTGTTTTAAATGCCTAGCAAAGTATTTTAAGGATTTGAGATGGTACGGATGCGGAGTGAACTGGCTTTGCTTCTGATGAAAAAGAAATAAATCCTCGTTATTACTAAAAAAAGTCATATGCAGATTTAAATCAGCCTATTCCGTTCTGTGTCCTGTGGCCAGCGCACCCCAATCTTGAGATAGCGGAGTACCGGGTTATGTATATTCTGGGTCGCGGCTTCGGTGCCCTGGCCCTGGCGTGCTGCGTCCCCACACAGGGAAAAGGGGGGGGTGTCCCCAGTCCCCCCCCCCCCCCCCGTTCAGCTTCTCCTTCTTGACCACAACCATGCCGACTTTCACCGGCCAGCTGGGAGCCATCTTTTGGCCTCTGCTTGCCCACGGGGTGTCTGTCTTCCTCGCACTGCATGGGGCCCCAGTTTTTCCGTGTGGTCTCCGCTGCAGGCTGACAGAGGAGAGAAGCTGGAACGGCTCTGCCCCATCCCATCTTTCAGTGGCTCCATTTCTGCAGGCGGCTTTTCTCCGTTCCCTCCCGTTGACCCAGTGCCTCCGAGAGAGCAGCACCGGTTTGGGCTGAACAGCTTCGCTTCTTTATCCAAGGGAAAAAACGCATCCTTTGGCTCAAAAGGGTCTCGCGGGAGACAAGGGAGGAACTGCTTCACTCCGCGTCTTTGGCCAAATCGCGCTCAGTCTTCTGTCCGTTCTTTCCGGCCGCCCGAAAACACTAGCTCTCCAGAGCCCGGCCTGGGCTGGAGCAGCGTGAATGGAGCCCCACCTGCCTGGCGTGGGCCGCCTTGGCTGCGGCGCGGAAGGGCTGGCCGGCGATGGAAGACCACCGGGAGGCACGGGGTGTTTGGGCGCGTCTTTGGAAGCGTTGCGCCGGAACAGGAGCGCGGCCTCTCTGTGTCTCTCTCTCTGTGGCTCACCTTCTCTCCGCACCAGCCGCAGCTGCTGGATTTCTCTCTCTGACACACCGGCAGCATTGCGAGTTCAGGTGCCAGGAGGAAGGCTTCTTTTCCAGATTTCTGTGTGCTCAGCTAAAAGGCTCAGCACGCAGTCTGCCAAAGGGATCGGCGGCCTCGAAGTGTTTCATAAACTGGGCCTTCGGGGTCCGCATGCAGAATTCAGAACTTGATGGGGAAGTTGAGCACCCGAGAGCTGGGCCGTTAGGGTAGGTGGTGGGTATAGCATGCTTCTGGTCCTCAAGGAGCTGAAGCTTTCCGCCTCACAAAGACTGTTACACAAAAGCCTCCGAGTTGTTTCGTTGGCAATATACTGGGACGCTGTGCATCTTTCAGCCCAAGGGCCAGACTCCACTTTTCATACGCCAGAACTGGGCACGGTCAACGTACGAGCCGATTTTAGCTTGCTGCTGTTACTGTCTAAGGAGAAGTGTTGAGAGACAGTGTGGCACAGTGGTTGGAGTGGGATGCAGGAGATGCTGTGTTTTGTTTTCTTTAGTCTCATGGTTAAACCATCCCAAGACCACGGGACAGTCTAGAAAAGTTTTAAATAAATCAGGATTCTAGTTGCCATTTGGCCATGAGGCTCCCTGGGTGACTTCAGACCAGTCATGCTCTGAGGCTAACCTACCTCGCAGGGTTCTTATGAGGATGAAATGGAGAGGAGGAAGAGAATTGTGTAAGGCCACAGGAAAAAAAAGCGGGCACACATCTAATAAGCCATCCTTTTAAAACAAGGAAACTGTTGCCGGGGGGCTGGGGGGGACAGTGTAGGCACACATCAGCGATTGCTGAGAAAGAGGCATGCCCCCCCCCCCCCCCCCCCCGGGCCCCCCCTGGGTCCCCAGCCCGGGGCTCTGCCCCCCCCCGAAACTGCACGTGTCGCATTTAGCTCCGCTGGCTGCGGCGCCCCCTCGGAACCGTGGCTGCGAGAGCTCAGGTGGGCTGTGTCTGTTTCCCTTCCAGACCGTGGAACATGGCTTCCCCAACCAGCCCAGCTCCTTGGCCTTCGACCCCAAGCTGCGCGTCATGGCCATCGGCACCAAGTCGGGAGCGGTGAAGATGTATCCTTTGCAGCACACGCGATTCCCGCAGAAGGGCGAGGTAAGACCGGCAGGAATTCCCGCTGCGCGGCTGGTCGGTTACTGCGCTGGGGTGGGGAAGGGGCCCCCGGCCCCCCCCACAACACAGTGATGTGGCCCCGCTCAGGACCATCGCAGGCGGATGCTCGCTCGGCACCGCTGTTTGGACTTGGGGATCTGGCTAAATCTGCATTGTTAGAAGGCAGCAAGCTCTCTGCTAACACAACGCAGGTCCGGGATTTCTCCAAAGCAGAAAGCTGCCCCTTCTCCTCCCTGCTTGTGGGCCTGTGGCCCGGCTGGAAAACTGGAGTGTGTATGTGGGGGGGCGGGTGGATCGGGGGGTCGGTGCTTTCCTTCTGCCCCATCACCACCGTCCTGGCAATCGCGCCCCTTTGCCTGAAGACGTCAGTCCCCCGCCTTCCGGGCTTCACCTCTGCTTTCCGCTCCTGGGTACCAGGCCAGCCACTCCTTTGTGTCCACGGGAAAGAGGAGGCGTGAGGCCTGCCCCGAGCTGGTGCCAAAGGTGGCCCTGGAACCGCAGCAGCTCCTCTCGGCCGTCCTAAATGGCAGGTGTGGGTTCCAAGTAGGGCGTCCGTGCTCGGGAACCACCTGTGTGTGGAGAGCCACCCTTCCCTGGAAGCGTCAGGCCGCTGAGCAGAGCCGTGCCCGCAGACAGGTGCTCTCTTCTTCTTCTTCTTGTCACGCGGCAGCAGCCGAAACCCGTGGGACGCGTCGGCTTTGGGGAGAGGTGCCGGCATCATCCGTGGGGATGCCAAGCATATCTGTACCCCGATAGCCCCAGAATGGTTCTCTTGGCACGTGGCTTTTCGGACTTTTCAGTGCTGCGCAAAACAATATTTCTGCAGACGTGCGCTGGATCTTCTCCCACGTACTCCTGGGATGTTGAACACGCTCGAAGGCAGCGGCAGCGTGACGGTTCTCAGCGCTGTTTGTGTGTGTGTGGTTGAATGACGGAAGGGATCCGGCAAGGCCTGTGCACCAGCCCCGTTGGAGTTGCCCCAGCGGACTTGATGGATATTTAAATCTGTCGTGCCGGCCAGAGGTATTGGCGCTGCACGATCGCTGGCTTTTGCCGGCACAGCCACTGATTGTGCTGGGGTACGGACACCACCGCATCCTTTCTGCTGTTTGAAAAGCGATCTGTTCTGAACTGCATAATGTGGAGGTTGGGAGGTGCGATATAAATATTTGTCGATTCCAGAAAAGAGAAGGTTCAGTCCACTTTCCCTGGAATGCCCTGTTGCTTTTGGGTTTGAGGATTTGGGATCAGCCCCTGGCTTGCCGTTGTTAGAGAAAATTCCCCTTTGGCAAAATCTTATTTTTACTGGCTGGGACAGATTATTTTGTGAGAGTTAAATCTGTTAAATTAGCTCTAGGGAAGATAGAGCTTTTAACATTTTGACAAATGAGACACTGCACTATTTAATTAACTGAATTTTTCTTTGCATGCTCATCAGCTACAAATAGCTTGTTTTATTTCCCACTCTCTTATTTTCATTGTATGTTGCCTTCCACTGTTTCCTTACCGCATTTGTTTTTTTTAGTGAATTTATATTCTGCTACTCTACTGATCTGACTTCTCTGTGTGGCTGGCAGAATAGCCGTGTGATGTGCAGAGGCCTGGTTGGTTATGGAGCACTAAACTTGTGCTAGGAAATATTTTAAATTGGCAGGATGAAAGCAGCCGTCCCCAGCAGTTCTTCCGACCTGGATGTGGGAGCTGAAGGGGTGTCCCGTTCCCCCGCTTTCCCCAAGTGCAGTCTGGTTGGCCTGGTGTTACGGGGTGGTCTGAGGGATCCTCAAAACTCGGCCCCACTGGGTGTTAGCTGCAGGTTGGTGCTGGTGGGCCGAAGGCAGTCCGCCATTTGAGCATTTTTTAAAACCTGCAAGCATCTTTGTAGTGCAAATGACGCTGTTTGAGCAGGTAGGGGCACTGGAAGTAATAGAGGCCAGCACAATTTGTACAAGTTTACTTATTGCGTAAAAAAGTCTAAACGGCAGCCCATCACGGGGACGGGGATCTGGGGAAAAGGCTCGGCACGGCCAGCTCTGGATCCTTGCGTCGGAAGGCGACGGGGCATCCATTGAGTTCGGCAACGTGGGCTTCCCTGCCGTAGCGCTTCCTTACGGGATGCTGAATGCGAGCTGCACGGAGTTCCTTTGAAGCAGCGCATGGGGTGGGAAACGCGCCTTGGTACATAGCAACGGGTGTCTCCTCGCCTGCCTGGAAGGAGCCTGAATGGACGCATTTTGGAGGGCCTGCAGGAGCCCTGGCTGCCAGAACGGGCCGCCTTCGCGCCTGCCCTTTGGCGTCCACGCGGGAGATGTGCAGTCACCATGGAGTTGACAGCCCCGCGACGACAATGCGTGCATCGCCCCCGCTGTCGCTCTTCCAGCGCCGAGCTTCGCCTCCCCCACTCTTCCCCGTCTCTCTCCAGGAGGGACTTGGCATGGCGGACACGCTGGGAAACGGCTCTTTAAATAGATAGTTTCAAATATGCAGTAGCAAGCGTCCTTTTCCAGTCAAAAGATGGCGCGTGACGGTTGAAAAAGGCGCTGTGGAAGCGCCAGAATTAAACCGACGCTCAAGCGCACGAGGATCTCGGGGATGCCTCGGAGCCTGCGCCGAGCCCTGTGCTCCGGTGGTGAGACGGCTGACTACCCAAGGCGTGGCGAAGCGGGCGTCCCGGGCAGGGCTTCCAAGGGACGGGGCCACTCCCGTGGGGGCCCCGGGTGCTGTCCCTGCCACTCTTTTGCTGACCTCTGCGCAGGGGGGATCGGGGGCACCTAGTGGTGGCCGCGTCAGGCTGGGTCCTGGAAGACCCTCTTCCTAGTCCTCTCACAGCCATGAAGCTCGCTGGGTGGCTGGGGCTGTCACTGACCTACCTCACAGGGTCGTTGTGAAGGTAAAACTGCCTGGGTTCCTTCCAGGAAGAACAGTAGAAGAGAAATATCATTACTAATTAGGCAGAGAGCAGAGGGACCCAGTGCACACGAGCCAGACTATGGATCGAATGCAGGATATCGCTGGAACATGTGCTCTTGCGCACATGCGCTAACCAGCCGTGGCTTGTTTACCACGAACAGCTCACAGTGCGCAAGTCCGCAGCAAACGCTGAGTTTGTCAGTGCCTTAACCAACCATGGGCTCTTCAGCACAGCCGGGTTGACACAAGACAACCCGTGATTCAGCAGGGTGTGTCGACAGCCCAGGATCAACCCCTGCTTGACCTGTACTTGGCTTGTTGTGTCATGAGGACCCAGCCAGGGAGCTAAACTCCCCCTCCTCCCATCCTCACGGCCCCCAGAATGCGCCACCTGCCAAACCAGAAATAGGGGCATTCACGCAATGAATGTGCGGCCCAACTTGGCTTTCTGTCGCCGGGATTTTAAAAAAATTGATCCATCCGTTGATCCATTTTAGATGAGGGTGGGCAACTGGGAAGCTGAAAGCAAGGCGGGCTGCACTCCAGCGTCCGTCAGCTTTGGCTAGAAATGATGGGGGGGGCATGCAAGTGTCCCACCCCGGTTTTAGATGACGCTTAAAATACGCATGTTCAGACAGCCAGAACGCAGGAGGCGGAAAAGATCGCTTGGAAGGGAGAGCATAAACCTCTTTATGCATGGTTAAGTGGCGTTTTGCTTCTCACGTTGTGCACTGAATTCGGGGAGTTTTTTCTGTTGCACCCCTCCCTCTCGCAGGCTGCCCCCCTCCCCCGGCATCTGTAGCTCTTTTGGAAAGCCTTTCCTGGCTTTTGTTCAGGACATGTGCGAGTTGGAAAGACAGTGGGGGAAATGGCTTAAGAACAGAGGATAAAGTTCTTGGGGGGGTGTGAGGCAGAGTTCCCAGCAGAGCCGGGAAGGAAACAGCTGGGGGCAGCTAAAAATACCGCCCCCCCTGCTGGATGGAGTAATCCTTTGCTCGGAAGGGGTCTTGGTTCAGGGGAGTGCCAAATGGAGGAAGAAAATAAGCCACCAGTCACGCCACAGAACTCTCCCCCCATCATCCCGACTCCTGGAAGAGGGATGCCACATTGGCAAAGATTAATTTCCACTTTCCCATAAAGGGACGGGAACTGACGGCTATTTCTGAATAGGCACGCATGCGGAATTGCATGTATTTATCATGGCTTTCTGCACCTCCACCATCTCCACCACCAGCTGAGTTTTAGATGGAAGCTCCTTGGGGCAGGGATCTCTTTCTTCTGAGGGCACTGCTTGGTCCAACGTTTCCTGGGCACGCTCCTGCTTCTCCCTGGGAGTGCCGCTGGGGAATTGAAACGGTCGGGAAGTGCAGACGGAGCGTTTGTGGGCGCGTTCACAAAGTCGGGGTTAGTCGGAGGTGCTCCTGTGCAGCCACTGCTGGTTAGCTGGGCCGAACGCCGAGCTTCCACGCATCACATCTGGGGCTCCATGAGCCCCGCGCTTTCTCTGGGACCCGCCCTCCAACCGCGCGATCGGGGCAGCTTACAGTAAGACGTGGCATGCTTCAGTTTTGCAAACAAGCTTCTAGGCCTGGTGGAAGGAGCGTGTGAACAAGAGCTGTGGCTTCTTGTGTGGGCCGTGTCCTCGCCTCGAAGGTGTTGCTGCTCTCGAGGTGTGCTGTGTCGCACCTCATGTTCTGGGGAGGGCTTGGGGGCTCAGACATGCTCTGCACCGTGCATGGGACCAGCTCCCTGAATGTGCATAGTCCTCTGCCTGACATGCTAGCTTTCTGAGCTGGATTCTTTTCCCTGACCTGCTAGATTTCTATGTGCGGGGAGTCCGTCGCATGGATGAGTGTTCATCACCTCTGCTGTTTGGAGTAACTGAGCTGCTTGTTCAGTCTTTACAACTTGGCCAAGGCAGCACAACAGGAAGTCACAGTGCTTGTGTCTTTCTTCTTTTCGGTGAGGCATGGCACCTTGCGTGCTGTTGCCACTTCCTCCTGTACTGAGCACTGCCTGAAACCCGTTTCAGCAG